GAAGGCTGTGATACTGAGACGAGCACATCAGCTCTGGGGTTTCTTCTCCGCAATGCATACCCTCAATCTAATCAGGAGAAAACATCAGACAAACCCAAAGGGAGGGACATTCTACAAAACAACTGACCAGTACTCTTCAAAATTGTCAAGATCAGGAAAAAACAAAGGAAGACTTAGGAGCTGTCACAGATTGAATGAAAGTAAGATGTGACAACTAAATGCCAGGTGGGATTTTAGATTGAATCCTGGAAGTAAAAAAGAACTTCAGTGGAAAACCTAGTGAAATACAAAGACAGTTTGGAGTTGGTGGTATTGTACCAAGGTTCCTTTCTGAGTTCTGATCATTGTAGCACGGTTATGTGGCTGTTAACCATGCTCAGGGGAGGCTATATGGGAACACTCTGTGCTATTTTTGCAACTCTTCTGTAAGTCCAAAATTATCCCCCCAAAAAAACTTTAAAAATAAAAGACTGCTAAGTAGCATCAAGAGTGAATTCATCACTTTGCACTGGGCCTGCAAATGATGTAGCCAGTCCTGTATGGAAGTATATGGAGAACAGGACGAAACATTTCCTAGGATGCAAAGTAAGGAAGCAGCACAAAAATGACTGCCCTGAGCTTGAGAGGGTTCTGGAAGGGATGGAGACAGGAGCTGTTAAATCTGAATGGAACTTGGGGACAGGAATAAGAATGGCTGTGGGACTGAGTGCAGTGGCTCACGCCTGTAATCCCAGCACTCTGGGAGGCCAAGGTGGGCAGACCACTTGAGCTCAGGAGTTTGAGACTACCCTGTGCAACATAGCAAGACTCACGTCTCTACAAAAAGTACAAAAATTAGCCAGGCGTGGGGGTGCACACCTGTAGTCCCAGCTACTTAGGAGGCTGAGGTGGGAGGATCGCTTGCACCTGGGAGGCGGAGGTTGCAGTGAGCAGAGATCACTCCATTGCACTCCAGCCTGGGTGACAGAGTGAAACCCTGTCTCCAAAAAAAAAAAATAGCTTTATATATTAATATCTAAGAATTTTTAAAAATAAAATAGCTGTGGACCACTGATTGAAGACCAGCTGGGACAAGGCACACACACTTCAACTGATGATGGCTACAGAAAACGACAAGAATCTGATTTTGATATCCTCTCCCCAGCTTGGAATTGTAGAAGACCCCTAGAACTTAGAAGTAAGTCTGGAGAAAAGGACGGAAACACCACTCATTGGTATTTTCCCAACCTCCATCGATGCCCCGGGTTGTTTTCTTGTCTTCCAAGGAAAGTCAAAAGCCTTGAATGATTAAGATTAAGTTTCTACCTCCAGTGCATGGAGGCTCTTAATAGAAATTAAGTAGTTATAGAAAAATTAAGTTAGATTTCCTGCCCGCCTGTGTTTGTGGACTGAGATTTGTACCTGTCTCACCCATCAGTCTTCCAAATTGATTTTACTAGTTAATTTGAGATTACAAATTATTCTACGTTGAAGTAGATGAGCATATTTTTTTAGCATAATGAGAAAGGTCATTGCAAATTTGATGCATTGTGAATTAAAATAAGTTAGGATGAAACGAAGGGGTGATAAGTGCTTTACTCTACAGAAGAGTTAATAATGTCAGACCTCCATGGAGAAATTACTCCACTAGATATGGATATGGGCTATAAGGAAAACTGAAAGCCAGAGCTGAAAATCTTAGCTTTGCTGGCCAAAATAAAAATATTACCATATATTTAAATAAATATTAAAGCATAAAAATGGCATGTGTTAATAACACTTAGATTTTACTCAGGAAGGACAAAGTACTGCCAAAGTTTTCAATAGACATAATTATATCTACCATGGTAAATTACTGTTACTGGGTTAAACTATTCTGTTTTTCTTATCAAGGAAGAAAGTCAACATTCTAGCTGTGCCACATTTAATAAACTGGCTGAAAAATATGTGTTACATTAATATAAAACACTGTAGGTAACATCAGCAAAAGTTCTGTAAGATGAGTTCATTAAAACAACAACCTGAGCATCTATATTAAGAGCATTTTAGATGTGTGTTTATTGTATTTATTTGGGAAACAAAACAAAACATTAAAGATACATTTATTTATCAAAAACAAGTCTTATGAGCAGGCAGTTGAAATGTTTAACATTGGACTAACACAGTAATAGAACTAACTTGTTAAATTTTGAAGACAGAAAAGATCCACTTTAACATAAAGTACAAAACATCTTCATAAAATTTATTTTGTCCAGTCAAATGTGATCCTCCCTCTTGAGCCCAGGAGTTCCAGATAAGCCTGGGCAATATAGCAAGATCTCCATCTCAAACAAAATGTGATTTTAAAGAAGTTATGTGTATGTTATTCCTCTTCAAGCCATGGGAACGACTTTTAAATACTTTTTTTAAAATAAGGGGCATTTTGAACTGTGCCATCCAACCCAGTAGCCACTATCCACTTGTGACTATTTCAATTTAAATTCTAATTAGCTAAAATGAGAGAAAATTTTAAATTTACTTCCTCTGTCTAATTAGTTACATCTTAAGTGCTCAATAGCCATACAAGCCTATTGGACATTGCAAATTTATATTTTTAATGTGGTATGTTTATTTACATTTCCATCATGGTGGAAAGTTCTATCAGACAAGACTGCTTTAAATGACTTCTGAAAACCACTAATGTAATAAAGTTAGCAATAGAAGTCTGGAAATTTTCTTCTAAATGTAAAGTTTTGTTTCTGTGGTTTTGCTTCTAGTCCAGGGAATATTTCAGATACCACAAAATATTAACCAAATTCAAAATCTGCATATACAATTTGAAATTTCTTCTTGCCTAGGGTCGAATTGTATTTTTCTTTTAAGAAAATTATTTTTAATTGACAAATAATAACTGCGTGTATTTATGGGGTATGATGTGGTCTTTTGATCTATGTTTATAATGTGGATTACTATTCTGTATTAGCTCTGTTACTAGTAGTTTGTAAAATAACTTATGAAACTGAACGGTGAAGCCAAAGACTATCTTAGTTGGATTAAATCTGAATTACGGAAGTTAAAGCCTTTTTGCCCTTTATGGAAGATTTTTTTTATGCAAGATTTTTAAAATTATCTATTTTTTTTTCTTTTCCCGAGACGGAGTCTCACTCTGTCACCCAGGCTGGAGTGCAGTGGCACAATCTCGGCTCACTGCAATCTCCACCCCCTGGGTTCAAGTGATTCTCCTGCCTCAGCCTCCTGAGTAGCTGGGACTACAGGCACATGCCACCATGCCCGGCTACTTTTTTTGTATTTTTAGTAGAGACGGGGTTTCATCATGCTGGCCAGGCTGGTCTCAAACCCCTGACCTCAGGTGATCCACCCGTCTCGGCCTCCCAAAGTGCTGGGATTACAGGTGTGAGCCACTACGCCCAGTAAATTATCTACTTTTTAAGACCTTTGTAGGCATAGCTTAACTTATAAAGATGTATGTAGAAGTACTATGGTTTTATTAAGCTGAAGGCAACTACTACAACAAATCATTCAGAGAATTATTTTTAAAAATAAATCCTTAATATTTTATCTTTAAAAAGCTATACTTGTATATTATAAACTATACTTAAATTTTGCTAAAATACTCTAAAAGTTGAATTTTGAAAAGATATATTTGAAAATATGTATTCATTCTACAAATCGGTCACATAAAAAAATCTAAATCTCGCAAGTCACGAAAATAAAAAGACTTGTCAAGTTTTATATGAATTATATTATTTGACTGAGTGGCTCCTTACTTTCTATTGGATTTCTTTCTCTACTTTATCAAAAAAACAAATTATATTAATGTCAATTATTTAAGACAAAGACATGGGTCAGAAGCCAGTGACCAAAACTAAAGGCTGACCTCTTACAAGGGAAAAAATTGCTTTTTGAACAATACCTAAGAATGCTATAAAACAGATGTGACTGAGGGCCATTTGATAGGTTAAAAGCTGAAAGATGGCATTAAACCTGGCAAAATGGTTCTTAAGCACAAATGGTCGAATGATGAAATTATAGAGTACTTCCCATGGCTGAAACATTCAAGAACTTTCTTTAAAATCAAGTGCCTATGTTAAAAATAAAATCCTATGCATGAGCAAAATGGGATTATTTTTTAATTCTCTAAGAATCCTGTCAATATCCTTTAAAATCACTTCTTTCTAACTGAATATGGAATCTTTTTTCACTTAAAACATTGTAAGATTTACATTTGTATGCATTTCAACTAGTAGAATCTATCAGAAAAATACAGCAAACATATTAAAACCTTCACCCAGACATTTCAGAAACCAAAAATTACGTTAGTGTCTGAATTTGGTCAGATCCTTAGCATTTATAGTAGCATATTCTTAAATCTAACCTACCTAAATGGAACTACAGTTTTATAATATGATTTTCTACGTTAACCCTGAGAAAAAGTCAGTGCTAAGATATTATCAGGAGGTAACTAAAGAAATGCTGTTCTCATCAGGAGTAAATTAAAAGAACACAGGTCTCATCGGAAAGTTTAGGTCAAACTATGTGTCAAGCCTATGATTCTGATGGATGTATAAGAAAGGTACTGTGTGAGTGCTCTGGTTATATGTAAACCATACCTCGCTTCTGAGTTAGTGGCATTAAGATCTAAGCCCTTGGTTACGATGTACTTGGCAGATACTCAATGTCTAGTGCCTGCAAGTTTCTATGCTTGGCAAATATTTCCCAGTGCCTCTTCTACGGCTCCCTACCTATCTTTATTCACTGACACTCAGATGTCATCTGTCATTACGTGCTAAGTGTACTGATCTTCTCACCCCACATTCAAAGGCAATGAAAACTACCATTTTATATTATTTGACTGATCGACTCCTTACTTTCTATTGAATTTCTTTCTCTGCCTTATCAAAAAAAAAAGTATATTAATGTCAATTATCTAAGACAAAGCCATGGGTCACAAGCCCATGAGTTTACTACCATTCCCTCAATGAAAGGTTGTCATCAAATCCACAGATGAAACATTACACATCTTCCTAATGTGATTCTACCTCCTTTATGAGCAGAAAAAGAAGTTTGGCAATTTCTACAGGTGTTAATGCAAACTACTCTGCCAGTACAGCAGGCTGATTTTGGAATTAGAACTTGAGAAACTTACAAAATAGTCTTAACAGTTTAAAAAAAAAAAAAAAAAAGTTTGGCAGCTGCCGTTCAGGTGCTTCTGTCAGTGGCGTTGGGATCTCTTGACTTTTACTCCTGCTCCGACTCTGGAGGGGTCACTGCTGGAAGCGACTGAGATCTGGCTTCAGCACTTCTGACATTATGTCTAAGGCTACGGATACTGCTGTTGATGGAGGTCACACACAACTTCCAGTCCCTTCCATTTTCCGAGAGATCACAAATTGGGTAGTTTTCTTGGAGGAACTCTGGTGGTAAAGACCCAAGACATAACAGTTTACTTGCAAATCACTTCTCAGAGAAATCAATTCATTCAACTTTCATTCTACTACGGTGTCTGTGAAAGGATCATTAACACTTCAATTAAAACACATAGGCTATAATCATTATTAAATTAGCTGAACAAATTCTTTAATCTAAAAAGAGAACTATATGAAACAGCACCATGCTTAAATCACAATAAAGCAAAAATCTCCCATGACCTTGCCACATACCAGAATAGAAATCCTCTGCTGCCTTGAGTATCCAAGGTCAACTTTTGTTACTCTCAAAAGTATCAAACAAGCATCTAGCATGTCACTTATCAGCTCGAATAGAGACATGCTAAGCCTCTGCAATGAACAAGAGGCTGCAGTGTCATCCTACTTTAAGAGGGAAGAAGCTGTAACTGCTAACTTTTCTGGTACTGCTGGATTTATCTCTGATAAAAGGAGTAAGGGTATTTAGATCTTGCAATTAGAGGAAGACTTCTAAAAGGGAAGGTGACAGAGTAACATAATTCAAGGAGCACTCTTAGAGAAAGTGAGAAGACAGACAAGGAGAAAGGTATGGAAGAGAGGTGTTTATTAGAAGAACAGGGCTGCCCTCGGACACATCATTAGGTAATCAAAGGTCTAAGTGCCTTTCAGCCCTTGGAAAAGGATCTGGTGATCCCTACAGGTTAGCATTAGTTAGTTACATTAATCTCATTTGTTTTTCAATAGGGTTAATAGGCTAATAAACATGCCATAAACATCACATATATCCAAATTTTTTAGCAAAGCATGTGTCAAGGTTGAAAGGCTTTCGTACCCAAAGGACTAATTAATTAATGGATCAGTGGTAGCCTGGAAAAAGGTTTTTGTGGTATGTCACTGGATTCAGTATCCCACTCTATCCTGCTAACATTTTATTAATCAAAAATAAGTTCTGGAAAAAATGTTTATCCCATTTTCCCACAACAGCAAAGCTGGGAGGGATAATTACCACACCGGAAGACAAATACAATGCTTGCAAAGCTTTCAACAGGTGGCAACAAGGAGCCTAAATTGACTGGTGTTTCCCAAAATGTGTTCTCTGGAACGCTAGTCATAAAAGAAGTTTCTTGGGGAAAAAGGTGCTAGTTGCACAAATGGGAAATGCTACCCTCTGCAGCTAGTCACCACTTGGGGATTTAAGATTGCACACAAGCATATTCAGGGTTCTGAACAATCCCACAGAAAAGACAAGTGGAGCCTCCTTTTGCTGATTGAAATGTTAGAGATGCAGCTGCGTTGGTGGGACGCATAAATGAGGGAGGTGGCAGTGCACAGGACAACAGAAGGTCAGGGATCAAGACTGGGAGATTTAGGCAGGCTTGATGGCTAAAGGCATTCAGTTTTCAAACTGACAGTCGGCCAGGCACGGTGGCCAAGACGACCGGATTGCTTGAGCTCAGGAGTTCGAGACCAGCCTGGGCAACAATGGTGAAACCCTGTCTCTACTAAAAATACAAAAAAATTAGCCAGGCATAGTGGCGCATGCCTGTAGTCCTAGCTACTCAGGAGGCTGAGGTGGGAGAATCACCTGAGCCCGGGAAGTCGAGTCTGCAGTGAGCCATGATCTAGCCACTGTACTCCAGCCTGGGCAACAGGAATGAGACCCTGTCTGCAAAATAAAAGAAACTGACAGTCAAGTGAAACGCATCTATTGACTGAGGTCCTTGGGGTGCTTGCTTAAGGTCTTTCCTAGCCGTTTGACTTTAAAAGTATTTCACGAGGCTGGGCACAGTGGCTCACGCTTGTTATTCCAGCACTTTGGGAGGCTGAGGCGGGTGGATCGCTTGAGCCCAAGAGTTTGAGGCCAGCCTGGCCAGCATAGTGAAATCCATCTCTACAAAAAAATTACAAAAATTAGCCAGGTGTGATGGCGCATGCCTGTAGTCCCAGTTACTCGAGAGGGTGAGGTGGGAGGATCATTTGAGCTTGGGAGGTCGAGGCTGCATTAAGCTGTGATCACGCCACTGCATTCCAGCCTGGGCAACAGAGTGAGACCCTGTCTCAAAAAAAAAAAGAAAAGGTATTTCATGAAACACCTAAAACACCTACTAACATCTAGCTGAATTTGAGAAACACAGTTCAGGGAATGCTGACCTACACTGACAAGATATGATGCAGCAAAAAATATATTTATATTTTTCTTACATTAACATTAAAAGGTGCTAGCGGTATAAATGGTAACAGCCTGAATACTAACAATATAAATGTCAGTTATAGCAAGAAAGATCTAGAGGTCTTAGTTGACCATATATTTTATTTTATTCTATTTTATTTCATTGAGACAGGGTCTCACTCTGTCACCCAGGCTTGAGTGCAGTGGCACAATCACGGCTCACTGCAGCCTCAACCTTCTAGGCTCAAGTGATCCTCCTGCCTTAGCCTCCCAAGTAGCTAGGGAGTAGCTAGTAGCCAGTGTATGCCCAGCTAATTTTTGTATTTTTTGTAGAGACAGGGTTTCACCAGGTTGCCCAGGCTGGTCTCGAACTCCTGAGCTCAAGGCATCCTCCTGCCTCTGGCTCCCAAAAGGGCTGGGATTACAGGCATGAGCCACTGCGCCTGACCTGACCATAAATTTTTAAATGGCATGTGACATTTTAGGCTGCATTAACAGCCTAATAGGTTATACTATTGTATCCTGGGTGGATTTAAGCACATCTGAAGGTAGTTATTGAATCAAATCATGAAGGATCAGGGCAACATGTATGTGAGGAATTCTGAAGGGAAATGTTAATATTTAACTGAAAAAGCATAAGGCTTAAGAGGGAAAAGGTTGGGTAGAACATTTCCTCTCCAACCCTCATGCTACCATGTGGAGAGACCTCTACATTGGAAAGTTGGGATGAATGGGACATGTACGATTGAAGAATAAAGCTGCTATTTTTATCTTCACCTGCCTGAATGGAGCAGCCCTCTCTCACTCGGTTCTGAACTTAAAAGGGAGTGTCTTTATGATCTCCTAATGCTCCAGCAGGAAGTGATGGCTGTCATTAACTGCTTGAAGGCCCAACCTGTGAAAAGTGATTGGATTGACCCTGTTTAGGTAGAGAAGGGATAACCAAGACAAATGTGTATGATTTACAAAGGAAGGTACATTTTGAGTCACTAGAAGGAAGAACTTTCCCATGAATTGTAGCTGAGACAGCAGGTGCCTCATCAATGGAAGTGTTCAAAGCCCAGGGGAGGTGACTCTGTCAAAGTTGAGATAGGAGTTCCTGCTGTGGGTGGGATGTTGTATTAGAGGGCCTGTAAAGTATTTCCTATTGCTAAGATTCGACAGTTCTGCAATATAAAGACATGGATGGGGTTTTAAGGAGTGAGGGTTGTTCGCTAATTGCAAATCTGCCTACTAACTTCCTCCCTATCAATTAAGAGCCCTTAAGTGATACTGAACTCTCATCAGAGAGCATCAGATAATAGTTATTTATATGAAATCTACACCTTTGGCTCCTGGACAGAGTTACCTTTGACTACTAATTTTCAGAAACTTTTCCCCCTAATAACAAAATATTAGGGTAAGAAACTATATAAGAATACAAGAATAAATTGGTTTATTCATTCAATGGGATATGAATCAGCAGTTCAAATGTATGAAAAGATCTCAAAAAATAATGTTGAGTGATTTTAAGTTGTGCAAAAAGATTACTGTACATCCCCATTTACGTACATTAAAACAACCACATGCCGAGTGCAGTGGCTCACACCTACAATCCCAGCACTTTGGGAGGCCAACGTGGGAGGATTGTTTGAGCCCACCAGTTTGAGGCTGGAGTGCAGCGTTGCAGTGAGCAACAGTGAGCCACGATCACACTACTGCACTCCAGCCTGGGCAACAGAGCAAGACTCCATTTCAAAAAAAAAAGAAAAGAAAAAATAAAGTAAAATAAAATAACTACAGAACAATATTACATATTATTTATGGATCTATTAACATAGGTAGCAAAAGTATAAAACATGCGTGGGAATGATATATCCAACTCCAGGACTGTGATTACTTCTGGGGAGCAGGAGAGAGGAAAGGGATGATGAGTTGGAGTGTTAATTATATCAGTAAAGCTTTATTATTTTTTTAAAAACAAAAACGTGGAGCACAAAACACGAAATGTCTATTATCAGTGACGGGGATAGACAGGTATTTATTATATTATTTTCCATACATTTCTGTATGTTTCAACTCATTTCGAATGAAGCAGTACTTTTACAGAAATCATATTAGGGGTCATAATCCCAGTTCTCCCACGAGTGCAGGTCTCTCCTCTCATATCTGATCACCCAGCCTTTGCTCTGACTCTTCCTTCTCCAAGTTCATTTTATCTTTATATTAAAGTGAAACAGACTTTCTTGTCAGCTTCTACTCCTTGGGGCTGGCTCTGCCCCTTGGGACAACAATGACTCTACTGTCTTCTCTCTGCTGAAATAACTGAAATGATTGTCCTTCTACAAAGCAATAGAACTTTGAGTCTTAGGAGAAATTTGTTAAAATCTGCCCTATGTGGATAATACATCAAACTCGTGCTGAATATTTGTTTACTGCAAAAGACATCTTTCCGATTTTAATATAATTCAGTGAGAGAGAAAATGATAAAAGGCTTAGAAAATATTTTTCATCAACTTTTAAAGAAGTAATCTTTTCTAGATGTTAAAGAACTATAAAAGTCACCTATTTTTCCCTGCATTAAAAAAAAAAAGTAATTAGAAAGACACTATTTCTTCCATAAACACATTCATTTCAGAATTGCCTACAAACTTTTTTTTTAACCATAAAGTAAGGGAAATTGAGTTTAGTTTTTTTGCCTAGTAGGTTAGCTCAGTGATGTTCAAGTTGCAAGTTGTGACCAATTACTAGGTTGTGAAATCAGTGATAGCAGTACTTGAAAGAAATGTAATGGAAGAGAAAATACTGGAATGTAACACTCATAGAGTAAGTACTGTTTGTGAAACTTTTGCTTTGGTTTTTAAAAGTCACACTCACACAGAGGCATGTACTGTGTCACAATGTAAAATGTAGTTCTTATTATGGGTTGCAGCAAAAAAAAAGTTTGAAAACAATTGGGTTAGATGATAACAAATGCTTATAAAAGCTGCTAGCTGAAAACCAGGTTTCTTTATTCTGAAACACCAGTGTTGTTCAAATTTGTTGGCTATGAAAATGTATGATATGAAGGTAGGAACCACCTGAGATCAGAGCTACATCTTTGCTGGGTGCCAGTGACACAAGTAAGAAATATTTTGCTTCCACTTTGTCCAAATTTAAGATTTCACAAGAAGTTTTTAGAAGCTTTATTACTTCACTTAGCATATGTCACAGAGACTATATTAGGCTAATGTGCACAAGAAAAACTTAGCAAATTAACCTTCTGTGCTTTCGTTGACACTTCTGCAAATGGATAAAGCCCTTTAGCTTTGACCTTGCTCCTCAGTCAATGAAGGTGTTTTGAGTTTTCATACCCCTGGCAGTCCATAGCAGGGAGCTACAGTCAATAACCCCTTTCCTGTTCTAGCAAAGCCATTCAAGACACAGCAATTAGCCCTAAGAACCCAAATGCAGAGAGAAATACAATTCATGATCTTGCTCCTTGCTGTACTCTAATGAGGGACTCAGTAAAAGTTCCATTCTCCCCAGAACAAACACAACCTGAATGGATTCTTCTTTCTGCCCTTCTCTTAAACACAATTGGCTTTTATTTATTCAGACATACTCTACATGTAACAAACCTTGGAGAGCACTAATCTTATTAGGGTCAAGGGCATACAGGCCATGCTTTAGACTGCCATAGACGTTACTTTGGATCAGGACATCTTTTGTGAAGAGTTTGTGAATAAGGTATCTAGCTGACAGGCTTGCGCAAGACTTAGCTTTTGCCAAAGTCAGTACTGAATATGGCATCCGTATATTTCTCCAAGGTCTTCCAAAATAGCCTAGAAGCAAAAGAGAAAGATGTCAATTTTCACAGCAGATGTTAGGTTGCATTATTTTTTAAAGGCTGAAACAGAAACACTGATTTTTCTGAATTGTTAGGCTCAAGAATTTGAGAGGTTAAAAATCTAAGGCTTTAAACATTTTTATTTATTTTAAAGAGAGTCTTGCTCTGTTGCCTAGGCTGGAATGCAGTAGCAAAATCATGGCTCACTGCAGCCCCAGCCTCCCAGGGCTTGAGTAATCCTCTTAGCTTAGCCACTCGCCACTCAAGTAGCTGGGGCTACAGGTCCACCCCACCACCCCCAGCTAATTTTTTTTTATCTTTTATAGAGGCAGGGTCTCACTTTGTTCCTCAGGCTGGTCTCAAACTTCCAGACTCAAACGATCCTCCTGCCTCGGCCTCCCAAAGTACTGGGATTACAGGTATAAGCCATCGTGCCCAGCCTAAAGCCTTGCATTTTTAGTGGATTATGAGACAGCATGAGAAATGAGGTAGAAATCACTGTGATTACACATGCTACCACGGTTCAACAGGAAGATTTAATATGCTGTTACCTTTTAGGATACAATAAGTTTTAAAATTACATTTAGTAACAAATTCTAAGTAATGTAATGCACTGTTTCCCTACTTATAAGAAAGATTTTTTCAAAAATAAGCTCCATGATTCTTCCTGAAATAGTTATAATTTTTAAAATGTAGGTTTTCTATTTAGTATTAAATTCATTTTAAATCAACACACTGCTGGTTCACTTTACATATTGTATCTTAGAGATCTTATTTGAAATGAAAAGTAAGTTTTAAGACTTTTCATTTCTCAACTCTACAGCTTAATCATCATCATCTCTCTTCAGTCCATAGTGATTCAAATTAACTCTATTTGAAAAATATTATATTTTACATATAATAATTATTTGTTAAATAAAATATATTTAAAAATATAATATAATTATTATAAGTCAGTAAGTATATTCTTCATCTTAGAACATCCATCATTTAATGGGTGGCAATAAAAACTATTGAATCATCCAGATTCAACATTTAGCAGGAGAGATTATTTAGAAACACATTTAATGGGTCCAAAGACTTAATTCTGGGAGATTTACCTAGTAATATTTATCAAGGGTCGGGAAAAAAGGTTAATACTCTTTAACCTGGTAATTCAATTTCTAAGAACCTAACCTAAGATAATCCAAAGTATGAAAAAATCTATCTGAATCGGCCGGTGCAGTGGCTCACACCTGCAATCCAGCACTTTGGGAGGCTGAGGCAGGTGGATCACCTGAGGTCAGGAGTTCAAGATCAGCCTGGCCAACATGGTGAAACCCTGTCTCTACTAAAAATACAAAAAAAAAAAAAAACTAGCCGAGCGTGGTGGCACACATCTGTAGTCCCAGCTACTCAGGAGGTTGAAGCAGGAGAATCGCTTGAACCTGGGAGGCGGAGGTTGCAGTGAGCCGAGATTGTGCCACTGCACTCCAGCCTGGGTGACAGAGCAAGACTCCATCTCAAAAAAAAAAAAAAAAATCTGAATGAAAACTGTTTTTTTGTAGACTGATTTGTAATCCCCTTCCAAAAAACCCTCAAACCAAAATGACAACAACAACAAAAAGAAACAAAGTAGGAGACAAATAAATTGGGATGCACTTAATTAATGGAATGTTATAATCCTACTTAGAGCAATGATTACGAAGATTGCAGATTCTTGAGGAAAAATAGATACATATTATAATGTTAGAGAAGGGGAGTAATTATATGGGAATCATAATGTTTCCAAATGTTCACAGGAAAAAAAAAACTGGAGGAAAATGAAAATGCCCACAACAGTTTTTTAAAGTATTTTGATTGTGGGAGCTTTCTTCCCCCTCTTAAAAATATTTTCCAATTTTTTAAATAAAATGGCATAACGGACTCCACACACACTACAGTGACTGCTTGGCTCACAGTGGGCTTAGTTGCCCCGTCCCCTCGTTATAGCTGAGTCAGGGTTAGAGACATGTGGCCCAAGTTCTCACAGTCTTGGGGCTGCTCTAGTTCTTGCCTGCCTGAGACTCACTCGGTTCTTTGCTTCTTTGAATACAGGAGCTATTCAACTGGTGACTTGTGGTTGTTGTTTAATTTATCCAGTCTGTGTCTGTAGTGTACAATCTTAACAAATACAGTAGTTAGATTACTTTTATAATGGAAGAAATAAAGCTATATCTTGTCAATGATTTCGTTTGAAAAGGATCCCAGGTAGTATTCTACTTAGGGTTAACATGGGGGCAGGGTACAGAGAGAATGAAGTTTTGCTACTTCAGATGTCACTCATCGGTATGGGTGATGCTAAAGCCCAGCACCCTGGGAAGATGCATTGGGAAGCACAAGTGGCAGGTGGCACAGTCAGTACTGAACCACTGCCACTTGACACCCATCAAAGCAGGAGGCGCCTTTAGCAGACAGTTTAGCAGTGGGAGCACAATGTTCTGAGAGATGAGATTCACGAATTCGTGCCAAAAATCCTATTGCACACCTGCAATGTGCCAGGCACACAGAGAACAAGAAGTGTATCTCAGCTGCAGCCCCTCCCCTTCACCACAGAGGGCAGTGCCTTATCAGAGCTCACACGGTCCAGTGAGTCGGCAAAGAGCCACTTTCCGTAGGAAAAATAACAGTCCCAGAACCATGTGTCTATATATTTCATTAACTCATTAATAAAAGACATTAAATTGTTTCACTTTCTGATGAAATTTCTCAAACACACATAAAAGTAGAGAGAATAGTACAATGAGCCCCAAAAATGCATCACTCAGATTCAACATTTATCAGCAAGAGAATTTATTTAAAAATAAGTTTTTTAAAAACTCACCCCATGCTTCACCAGGTTCCTCTGGATTATCAGTGGAAGGCTCTTGCATTTCTTCAGGGATAGAATTACTGTTTGGCTGCAAGTTCCCCTTTTCTCTCATTTCAGAATAATTCATTGGCTGAAACATCCAAGAACTGCCTTCACCACCATCTCTGTCCTTATGGTCATTTCTGTCTGCAGATGCTGGTGCAACAGGGTTGGTAAGCTTTTTATTTTTGCGAACAGTTTTCTGTTGAAATACAAAACCATATCCGTAAACAAAGTCCCACAGCAAGAAAATATGTCTGTGCTCTACCACCTACCAGGCCCCCCCTAGGGAAGCAACTAACTCTTTAAAAGGTGGGCTGAAGCCATAGGAATACTGTTTGTCGCAATACTATCTGGAAAGAAGGAAAGGGGTGGCTTCTTCCGCAAGCTGTCATGACCCGCTGCTCCTTGCAGGATTTTGTAGCTTTGTCTAAGGAACTGAATGAGAACTGCTGGGACAAATTAAGTGCATAATAAACATTTCACAAATAAACAAAGCAGTGAGTTTCTTGGAGATGACCACTTTTTGTTTCTCATGTTTTGTTTGTATTCTTTTTCCCTAGTGGCGCTCAAGTCTGGCTGCCCGTTTGAATGACCTTCGGGATCTGTAAAAACAAATGGTTGTGCTGGGCCCCACCCTAGGCAAATTCAGCCAGAATTTCTGGCAGTGGGAGTGGGGAGCTCAGGCGTTAGTAACTATTTTTAAGTGTCTCATGTAATTCTAATATGCACCCAGGGTTGACAACCACTGCTCTGGGTTAGCGCTTCTTGAACTTTAGTGTGCACACAAATCACATGGGGGATGGAGGTTGGGGAGGGTCTTGCTAAAATGCAAATTTTGCCCCTGAATCAAGACCCTGCAATTTTCACAAGCTTGCCAGTGGTCCACTGCTGCTGGGCTGTGGACCTACTCTGAGTGACAAGGACCTGTCCCATTCCTAGTCAAGCACACAGCAGGCACTTGGCAGACACTGCTTCTCTTCTCTTTTGACACCTAAGCAAATATGCAAATTACCATTTTCCAGGCAGTGTCTTAATTTTACATTCAAATTGTTTAGGGTGCAATTTTTGAAGGCTATAAAATGGAATGTTAAAAATAAGCAGATTTGGTTTCAGGCAGATGGTGCTTGAGCTATCACTGAAATCAACCCGTTCACCAGGAAAACATACGCTCAGCTACAAATATTCTTGGCAAATTGTTTCCATAAACTTACTCTAGAGACACAGGAGCGACTAGACATGGCCAGAAGAAAAAGGGGGTTGGTGGAAATTAGGAACTGTCATTAAGATACATATTTCATCAAAAGACAACAGATATGACACTCTTCCCTAATGGCCCGGTCGTGGTAAAACAAACAAAAATCTCTAATGTAGTTTGAAGATAGACTGGAGGAGAGAGAAACTAGATTTCTGTTATCACATAACTATATGGAGTGTAAAATATCTGTAATCGTTTAACGTCATAACGTGTTTATTTCACCAAGTTCCATCATCACTAAAAGTGAACAAGTAATGAAGTGCCTGCATTTTCCCCTGCACCTCCTCAGCTACCATTGAAACAGCCAAAGAGCACACAGCTAGCTCCTTTTTGTGTTGCTCGGTGAGATACTAAAAAAGATTTGCCAAATATCTTTGTAGCTGAAACTGTTTTCCTAGTATTATCCTTGGCTTCAAATATACTAATTATAGCACTTTATTTATCTTTAGGATATTTTTATAGAGCATAAATCTCAAAAAAGTAAAATAAACATGCAGTATGCTTTTGAAAGAACATCCCATGCCCCGTAAGTTAAGTTAATGAGAATTTTAGCACACGGCCTAAGGAGCCTGTAACTCATGCTATCAGTTCTGAAGCTGTACACAGTACAAACTCAGGTAATAGTAACCATATTTAGACAAAAAATAACTTACTGGAGTACTCTTGGCTTCAGAACATAAACAGTAGATCATAGAATTGATACCAGAAATACAGTCCTGCCAGTCTTTTCCATGTTCACACAAATCACAGGTGGGAAAAGTTGTTGCCAGATATTCTGCAAACAGCAGAAAGTATTCACGAAAATTAGAAAAAAAATTAACAAACCAACGAAAATTTTTTTTCTTTAAATACTGACTTTTAGATGGTTCCATTGTGTAATGGTGAGCACTCTGGACTCTTAAATACTGACTTTGTCTCTTTCTACTTCTCATCCTTTTCTCTTATTCTTTCTGAGAATTTAGAAATTCCACCCAATGAGGATGCTTTGCTGAATTATTTCCCCTACCATGAGATCCCCTAAAACACTGACGTAGGAAGCTAATATTGAGTTCTTGTTGCTCAAAAAAAAAAAAAAAAAAAAAAAAAAAAAGGTGTAGGCCGAGCACAGTGGCTCACGTCTGTAACCCCAGTGTTTTGGGAGGTCAAGGCAGGAGGACCAGGAGTTTGAGAACAGCTTAGGCAGCAAAGTGAGACCTCATCTCTATAAAAAATACAAAACTTAGCTGGGTATGGTGGCATGCACCTGTGGGCCTAGCTACTCAGGAGGCTGGGGAGGAAGGGTTGCTTGAGCCCAGGAGTTCGAGGCTGCACCAGAGCTATGATCACACCACTGCACTCCAGCCTGGGCGACAGAGCAAGACCATGTGTCTGAAAAACAATTTTAAGTGTGTAACCAAATGTTGACTCTTTCAGGGTGTTCAGACCATTTAATAACCCAATGGATAAATCAGAGCTAAAAGGAAACATATCAAGAGAAAATAGTGTTACTGCAAACATGATTACACCAGGGGCTCACTCATTGTGTCTATCTTCCCCAGCTCTTCCTTCTGCCTAGAACATCCTCCTGTTCCCTCTACCTAGTGAAGGAGTCCTTCAGAATCCAGCTCAAACATCCTGTCCTTAGTTAAGCCTTCCCCAACTCCCTCAAAGCAGCTGCTCTGAGCTTCCCCAACACTACCACACTGGACTGGGATGTATCTGTTTCCATCAACATGTCCCTTTCTAGACTATGAGCTCCTCATAGGCAGAAACACTTATTCATTGTAGTATCCTTAGTACTCATGAGTTCTAGGATCTCAATAGACATGTCTGGAAGGCAGGAAGGCAGGAGGCTAAAAAGGACTAATCATAAAATTCTATTTCTGTGTTGCTAGTCTCCAGCACTGACAAGTCTTTAATTCCCCCACCTTTTGGCAGAGGAAGCTTTTTACTTTTTTTTTTTTTTTTTAAGTAGCAAGTTTCAGGGCTAAAGAATTGACTTAGTACTAACCATAAACAACTATAATAGATGAGGCTTGTCTTATTCAACCATTCAAGTCAATGGACAAGTTTTATTCTTTGGAAGTTGTTACCAATGATATATTATTAAGTTGTAAAATCAGGGTCAGACAGGTGAAAAAAATGAAGAGTTTTAAGATTCACACAGACTTCATTGTTATTCCTTCAACTGCCAATAACATTCATTGTATGACCAAATGATTATTAAAAATAAGATTCCATTATCACTTAATGTACACATACCTCTCAATGCAGCCATTTTGTTTGGGTCAAGGGACTGGCTGTCTTTCAAATGGATATCCACTGAGTTGCTAATCAGGATTTCCTTGGAGAACAAAATACGAACCAAATAGCAGGCTGCTTGCTTAGGTTTGGCCATATTTCGTACGGCCAGCAAATGAGTTTTAAGTACTCTGACATTTCTTTTTGGATCACCAAGATAGCCTTTAAAAATAAAGAGAAAAAGGAACATCCTTGGTTTTGTCATGCAAAGGTATCCTGAAAGTACACAAGAGAATTACACTGATTTCTTTCTTCTTCTTCAAATAAGGCAAATGCTGATAAACTGATTTCTAATTCATTAATTTCTACTTGGGTGAATTTTTTTTTCGATTTTTTTTTCCTTTCCCTTAAATGGGTCTCTTTGACACCATCTGCCAAACTGTCAACATTCTTCACTTCTGCTGGTCTTGAGCTTACTGTATTGAACTACTCTCTTCATTAGTTTGAACACACGTCATTGTTAGGCTGCAGGTGCATATGTAAACATGTTGCCCTGAGTTCCCACTGCTCCATTTCACACTCTAAAAAGTATACTCAGAGCCATTCTACTGGGTAAGTGGATGTTCCCTGAAGACAGTATTGAAAGCATGGGTGGGGATCATTAAGAAAATTTTCAAATAGCTAGCATTTATCAGTAGTTCCTGTATATCAGGCATGTGCTAAATATTTTACATCTATGCACCAGCTCAGTTTCATCATTCTAACACCTCTATCATTACTCCCACCCCATTATTCCCACCCCCATTATTTCCAAATGAGGAGACCGAGGCCCAAAGAAGATAAGTTATTTGAAAAGGTCACACTGCTAGTTACAGAGCCAGTTTTAAAATCTGTTTATGAGTCAACTGCTCTAAACCATGAATCTTCTACTAATATCTTCCATTCTTTTTCCTATTTTTTTAAAAGAAAAAATTGAAATCATGCTTTAAGTATAGTTTAAATCCTGCTTTTTCAGTTAACATTGTATTTTGAGCATTTCTCTGTTTTCATCTTTTTAAAAAAAATCTGCATTCCTGTCACCATGATTTTCCTGACAAGTGACATTTATGTAGTACTTACGTCCGAGGCATTGTGTTAAGAGCTTTAAATGCATTGTCCTAGCCAGGTGCCGTGGCTCACGCCTGTAATCTCAGCACTCTGGGAGGCCGAGGCGGGCGGATCATGAGGTCAGGAGATGGAGACCATCCTGGCTAACACGATGAAACCCCATCTCTACTAAAAATACAAAAAATTAGCTGGGCATGGTGGCGGGCGCCTGTAGTCCCAGCTACTCGGGAGGCTGAGGCAGGAGAATGGCGTGAACCCGGGAGGCAGAGCTTGCAATGAGCCGAGAGCGACAGAGCGAGACTCCAGCCTGAGCGACAGAGCGAGACTCCGTCCCAAGAAAAAAAAAGAGAGAGAGCTTTAAATGCATCGTCCTATTTGATCTTCACAATTCTGTGAAGTAGGCACTATTATTTTTGTCACTTCACAGCTGAAGAAACTAATATTTAGGTTACGAAAGGGGCTGAAGGTCATAAGGTTAGTAAGACACAGAGCGGGGATTTGAAATCAAGCAGACAGACATGAGAGCTCATGCCCTCAACTATTAGGCTTTACTGCCTCACATGCTGTGGATATACCAGAAGTCAAGTGATTAATTCCCTATCATCATTTATTTTTGTTTGTTTGTTTCCAAATTTTCCCAATGATTCCGTAAAGGACATTCTTGTACCAAAATTTTTATGTAATTTTTTATTACACTTTCAGAGAGAAGTGAGATTACAGTCAACTGGCATAAATGTTTTTATGGATTTTTCTACAAACTATCTTTCAGAAAGTTTGTACCAATGTATACTTCTAACAATGTATCAGAGTGCCCATTTTAGTACAGAGAATCAACTTTTGTTTCTGGGTTTTTTGTTTGTTTGTTTGTTTTTTGGCTGGAGTACAGTACAGTGGCATGATCATGGCTTGCTATAGCCTCAACCTTCTGGGCTGCTCAAGTGATCCTCCCACCTCAGCCTCCCAAGTAGCTGGGATTACAGGCACATGCCACCACGCCTGGCTAATTTTTTGTATCTTTGTAGAGATGGGGTTTTGCTATGTTGCCCACGCTGGTCTCAAACTCCTGGGCTCAAGCGATTTTCCCACCTCAGCCTCCTAGATTGCTGGGATTAACAAGTCTGAGCCACTGTGCCCAGCCAAGACCACAATTTTTGAAATTTCTTCTAGTTTGAGTAATAAAATAATTTAAAGGAATAAGCTCTCCTCTAGGAAGGGAGTCAACAAACTACAGTCCACTGGCCCATTCCCCCACCGACATGTGTGAAAGGTATGCTGGCCATGGCCATGCCTATTCATTCGTCTATGGGCTGAGGCTGCTCTTATGTTACAACAGCAAATGTGGGTATTTGTGACAGACAATACTATCTAGCCCTTCACAGAAAAGGTTTCCTGACCCCTGTTCTAGGATATTAATAAGAGATAAGCTGCTTAGAAGTTGAGACAAAAATGAACTGACTACAAAATATTTGGAAGGCTTACCCTTAGAAGCCACAAAGCTTGGGGTCCCCTCATCTCTGCCACTGTGGCTTGGCAGGCAGTACATGAACTGGTAAGATACGTGAGCTTTAGGCCAGTTACGGTGGTTCATGCCTGTAATCCTAGCACTTTGGGAGGCCAAGACAGATGGATCACTTGAGGCTAGCAGTTTGAGAACAGCCTGGCCAAAATCGCAAAACCCCATCTCTACTAAAAATACACAAATTAGCTGGGCGTAGTGGTGTGTGCTTGTAATTCCAGCTACTTGGGAGGCTAAGGCAGAAGAATCGCTTGAACCTGGGAGGCGGAGGTTGCAGTGAGCCAAGATCATGCCCCTGCACTCCAGCCTGGGCAATAGAGCAAGACTCCACCTCAAAAAGAAAAAAGACACATGAGTTTTAAAGTCAGAGAAAGCTGGGGCAGAGCTCAAGTCCTACTCACCAGCTCTGTGACCTTGGGGATGGGGATAATAAAAGTGCCAACACCATGGGGTCATTATGGGTATAAGTGGAGAAGAGACATGTCAATTGTTTAGCACAGTGCCTTGCATGTAATATGCACTCAATAAATGTTAGTCATGGTTCTGAATATCACCTAAAACCTGTCCTCAAAACAGGAAACACACAGCTTTCACTGTCTTGCATCAAGTAAGTGGAAGAATGTAGCTCAAATAGTGCCACTTATAATGTGTGTCATTTCAAACTCACCATACTTGGGAAGGATACAGACAGGTGATGAGGAAGAATCCTGGCCACTGTCACTGTTCAATAAAGTCGAGCGATTCATTGTGTTGAGGCTGTTTTCCGTGTTGGTATCTACTTTTACCAAAATGTTCAGAGGTAACAGTGCTGAAAGAAAAGAACTCTCAACTGACAATTCTATATCCAGCAAAACTGTTTTTCAGGTACAGAGGGGAAATACACTCTCAGACAAAAGAAAACTAAAAATATTTGTTGCCAGCAGACCTACTTTTTTTTTTTTTTTTTTTTTTAGACTCTGTTGCCCAGGCTGCAGTGCAATGGCATAATCTCGGCTTACTACAACCTCCGCCCACTGGGTTCAAGCAATTCTCATGCCTCAGCCTTCCGAGTAGCTGGAATTACAGGCACCCACCACCACACCTGGCTAATTTTTGTATTTTTAATAGACATGGGTTTTCGCCATGTTGGCCAGGCTGGTCTTGAACTCCTGACCTCAAGTGATCTGCCTGCCTCAGCCTCCCAAAGAGCTGGAGACCTACTCTTAAAGAATGGCTAAAAGAAGATCTTTAAACATAAAGGTTATGATGATAGAAGGAACAGTGGCACATCAGAAACGAAGAAAGAATAGAAAGATGCATGTGGAGAAATGGAACAGCCACACTGGAAAACAATTACTACATTTGTAATTATAATTACTATTATTGTAATTATTATTATAATTTAAAATGTAGTAATTAATTGCAGGGTTTTCTTAGGGTTAAGCACCTAAGAGTGAAATTGCTGGAAATTTCACTCTTAGGTATTTATCCCAGAGAAATAAGAGCTCGTGTTGACACAAAAACCTTCACATGAGTATCCTCAGCAGCTTTGTGATAGCCAAAACCTGAAAACAACCCAAGTGTCCTTCAATAGGTGAATGGTTAAAGAAACTGTGGTAAATCCATACCACAGAATACTATTCAGCAATAAAAATGAAAAAGAGAAAGAGCAGAAAAACAGGCGATACAAAACCATCATGAGTTCTCTAAATCATATGGAATGACTGAAACAAAAGTGAAAACACCATCTGATACCTATGACTATGATATTTAAAGGTGGGGAGAAAAAGAAACCTAAGTGGAATTAAAGTTTCAACACTTCATTCTAAGTGGTAAAATGCTGATTCCAACAGGCAGTGATAAGTCACATATGTATACAGTAACACTCAGAGCAACCACTAGGAAAACTGCACAAAGCAATATACTCAAAAACAAACAAATCAACATGGAATGCTTAAAATGTTCAAGTAACTCACAGGAAGGCAAGAAAAAGAAAAGGAGAATGAGAAACAGAAAATAAACAGAAAAATAATAAAATGGAAGGGCTTAAACCCTGTATCAATAATTACGTTAAATGCAAATAATCTAAACATACCAATTAAGTGGCAGCAATTGACAAAGCACATAAAAAACAAAACCCTCGATTGCCAGGTAGTGTAAATGAAAACAAAAAAGAAAAACAAGACCCACCTGTATGCTCTTTATTAGAAACTCTACAAATTCAATAACATAAGTAGGTTAAAAGTAAAAGAATGAAAAATTACCATGTGATATGGTTTGGATTTGTATCCCTGCCTAAACTTCATGTCAAATTGGAGGAGGGGCCTGGTGGGAAGTGACTGGATAATGTGGGCGGATTTCCCCCTTGCTGTTCTCATGAGAGTGAGTGAGTTCTCACGAGATCTGATGGTTTAAAAGTGTGTGGCACTTCCCCCTTTGCTCTCTCCTGCCACCATGTGAAGAAGGTGCTTGCTTCCCCTTCACCTTCTGCCACAACTTTAAGTTTCCTGAGATCTCCCAGTCATGCTTCCTGTTAAAGCTGTGGAACTGTGAGTCAATTAAACATCTTTTCTTTGTAAATTACCCAGTCTCAGGTACTTCTTTATAGCAGTACGAAAATGGACTAATGCACCATGCAAATATTAATCCAAAAAAAAGAAAGCAGAGGGGCTATATTGATATCAGATAAAATAAACAGACTTCAGAGCAAAGAAAGTTACCAGAGACAAATAAGAACACTACATAACAATAAAAGGGTTAACCCCCAGGAAAATATAATGATCCTCAATATGTTCGCACCAATCAAAAGTGTCTCAAAATATATAAAGCAAAAACTGAAAGAGTAGAAAGGCAAAATAGACAAACCCACAGTTATACTGAGGACCTCAAAACACCTCTCAGCAACTGACAGAACAACCAGACAGAGGCGAGGCACGGGGGGCTCATGCCTATAATCCCAGCACTTTGAGAGGCTGAGATGGGCAGATCACCTGGAGGTCAGGAGTCAGGGACCAGCCTGGCCAACATGGTGAAACCCCGTCTCTACTAAAAATACAAAAATTAGCCAGGCATGGTGGCACATGCCTATAGTTCCAGTTACTCAGGAGGCTGAGGCCCAAGAATTGCTTGAACCCAGGAGGCAGGGGTTGCAGTGAGCCAAGATCAAGTCACTGCACTCCAGCCTGAGTGACAGAGCGAGACTCTGTCTGGAAAAAAAAAAAAAAAAAAAAAAAGAACAACCAGACAGAACATCAGCAAGGACAGAGAAGACCTGAGTAACACACAACCAACCAACAGGATTTTCATTATAGAACATTCCATCTAATAAAAGCAGAATACACATTTTTTTTTCAAATGCCTATGGAACATTCACCAAGACAGACCACATCCTGAGCCAGAGGAAAAAACCTCAATAAATCTAAAAGAATTGAAATCATATAGAGTATATTTTCTGACCACAGTGGAACCAAACTAGAAATCAATAACAGACAAGAGAAAAATCTATAAACACTTGGAAATTAAACAGCAAACTCCTAAATAATCCACATGTCAAAGAGAAGTCTCCAAGGAAATTTGAAAATACACAGGACACAGCTCGGGAGCAAGATAGCTAAATAGAAGCCTCCACCGATTGTTCTCCCCACAAGAACACCAAATTTAACAACTATCGACACAAAAAGAGCACCTTAATAAGAAATCCAAAATCAGCTTAGGTCCCAGCTCAGCCACAGTGGGGTAGGGTACCAAGTGGGCTCTTGGGGTCCCTGATTCCAGGCCTTGGCTCTTAGATGGCATTTCTGGGCCTACCCTGGGCCAGAGGGGAGCCCACTGCCCTGAAGAGTGAGTCCCAGGCCTGGCAGCATTCACCATAAGCTGAGTGAACAGCAGCAGTGGCCTGGCGGTACCCCCTGTGGACCTGTGGCAGTGGTGGCCACAAGGAGAGACTTCTCTGCTTGTAGAAATAGGAGGGAAGAGTGGGAAGGACTTTGTCTTGTGGCTTGGGTGCCAGCTCAGCCACAGTAGAATAGAGCACCAGGTAGATTCCTGAGGTCTCCAGCTCCAGGTCCCGGTTTCTGATTGGCATCTCTGGACCTGCCCAGGGCTGAGGGGAACTCACTGCCCTGAAGGGAAGGACACAAGCCTGGCTGGCTTCACCACCTACTGATTGTAGAGGCCGAGGGTCTTGAGCAAACACACACTGTAGCCAGGTAGTGGTTACAGCGAGCCTTGGGCAAGACTCAGGGTTCTGCTGGCTTCAGGTCTGACCCAGCACAGTCCCAGTGGTGTTGGCCACAGGGTTGTTTGTGTCACCCCTCCCCCAGCTCCAGGCAGCTCACCACAGAGAGAGACTCCTTTGTTTGGGAGAATGTAAGGGAAGAGGCCAGGCGCAGTGGCTCATTCCTGTAATTCCAGCACTTTAGGAGGCTGAGGCGGGCAGATCACCTGAGGTCAGGAGTTGAAGACCAGCCTGGCCAACATGGTGAAACCCTGCCTCTACTAAAAATACAAAAATTAGCTGGGCATGGTGATGCACACCTGTAATCCCAGCTACTCGGGAGTACTGAGGCAAGAGAATCGCTTGAACCCGGGAGGTGGAGATTGCAGTGAGCTGAGATTGCGCCACTGCACTCCAGCCTGGGCAACAGAGTGAGACTCCATCTCAAAAAAAGAACAAGAGTCTCTGCCTGGCAATCCAGAGAATTCTTCTGGATCTTAACCAAGATCACCAAGGCGGCATCTCTACAAGTGTTCAAGAGCCACTGCATTACTGGGCTTGGGGTGCCCCCTGACGCAGATATGGCTTCAGTGACCAAAAACTTAGATCAAAACACCCAAGTCCCTTCGAATATCTGGAAAGCCTTTCCAAGAAGGATGGCACAAGTAAGCCCAGACTGCAAAGACAACAATAAATATCTAACTCTTCAATGCCCAGACAGACGAACATCCACAAGCATCAATTCCATCCAGGAAGACATGACCTCACCAAACGAATGAAATAAGGCACCAGGGACCAATCCCAGAGAAACAGAGATATCTGACCTTTCCAACACAGAATTCAAAATAGCTGTTTTAAGGAAACTCAAAGAAATTTAAGATAACACAAAGAAGGAATTCATAACTCTATCAGATAAATTTAACAAAGAGATTGAAATAAAAAGTATCAAGCAGAAATTCTGGACTTGAAAAATGCGGTCAACATACCGAAGAATGCATCAGGGTCTCTCAATAGCAGAAATGATCAAGCAGAAGAAAGAATTAGTGAGCTTGAAGACAGGCTATTTGAAAATACAAAAAAGACAAAAGAAAAAAAGAATGAAGCATGTCTACAAGATCTAGAAAACAGCCTCAAAAAGGCAAATCTAAGAGTTATTGGCCTTAAAGAGGACATCAAGAGAAAGACGGGGTAGAAAGTTTATTCAAAAAGATTTGCTAAGCGCAGTGGCTCATGCCTGCAATCCTAGCACTTTGGGAGGCCAAAGCAGGCAGACTGCCTGAGCTCAGGAGTTCAAGACCAGCCTGGGCAACATGATGAAGCCCCATTTCTACTAAAAATACAAAAAATTAGCCAGGCATGGTGGCATATGCCTTTAATCCCAGCTACTTAGGAGGTTGAGGCACGAGAATCACTTGAACCCGGGAAGTGGAGGTTGCAGTGAGCTGAGATCACACCACTGCACTCCCACCTAGGTGACAGAGCAAGACTCTGTCTCAAAAATAATAATAATAACAGACAACTTTCCAAACTTAGAGAAAGAATATCCAAGTACAAAGTTATAGAATACCAAGCAGATTTCACCTGAAGAAGACTACCTCAAGATATTTAACAAT